GAAGTTGAAGGAAAACAGTAAGCTAAAATTTCCAAGCATGCCTAATAATATATGTGTATCTGTGTATTTCCAGCTGTGTTTTATGAGGAATGGAAACAAGAACAAGGTCAACCAGGAAGTGAAATGAAAACAGTAAGCTAAAATTTCCAAGCATGCCTAATTATATCTGTGTATCTTTGTATTTCTAGCTGCGTTTTATGAGAAGTGGAGACAAGAACAACGTCAACCATGAAGTTGAAGGAAAACAGTAAGCTAATTTTTCCAAGCATGATAAATAATATCTGTGTATCTTTGTATTTCTACCTGCGTTTTATGAGGAATGGAGACAACAACAATGTCAACAAAGAATTTGAAGGTAAACAGTAAGCTAAAATTTCCAAGCTTGCCTAATAATATCTGTGTATCTGTGTTATTCCAGCTGCGTTTTATGAGGAATGGAGACAAGAACTAGGTTAACGAGGAAGTTGAATGATAACAGTAAGTTAAATTTTCCAAGTATGCTTAATAATATCTGTGTATCTTCCTGCTGCGATTTATGAGGAATGGAGACAAGAACAACGTCAACCAGGAAGTTGTAGGAAAACAGTAAGCTAAATTTTCCAAGCATACCTAATATCTCTGTATCTTCCCGTTGTGTTTTATGAGGAATGGAGATGACAAGAATGTCAACATGGAAGTGGAAGGAATATTGTAAGGTAATTTTTCCAAGTATGCCTAATAACATATGTGTATCTTCCCATTGTGTTTTATGAGGAATGGAGTCAAGAACAACGTCTACAAGGAAGTTGAAGGAAAACAGTAAGCTGAATTTTCCAAGCATGCCTAAGAATATCTGTCTATCTTGGCATTTCCAGCTGTGTTTTATGAGGACTGGAGAAAAGAACAATGTGAACCAGGAAGTGGAAGGAAAACAGCAAGCTAATTTTTCCAAGCGTGCCTAAGAATATCTGTGTATCTGTGTATCTTCCTGCTGCGTTTTATGAGGAATGGAGACAAGAACAACGTCAACAAGGAAGTTGAAGGAAAACAGGTAGGTAATTTATCCAAGCATGCCTAAAAATATCTGTGTATCTTCCCGCTGCGTTTTATGAGGAATGGAGATGACAAGAACATTAACCAGGAAGATGAAGGAAAACAGTAAGCTAATTTTTCCGAGTGTGCCTAAAGATATCTGTGTATGTGTGTATCTTCTCGCTTTGTTTCAGAAAGAATGGAGACAAGAACAACGTCAAGCAGGAAGTTCAAGGAAAATAGTGAGCTAATTTTTCCAAGCATGCCTAAGAATATCTGTGTGTCTTTGTATCTTCCAGTTGCGTTTTATGAGGAATGGAGACAAGAACGTCAACCAGGAAGTGGAAGGAATACAGTAAGCTAATTTTTCCAAGCATGCCTAAGTATATCTGTGTATCTTTCCGCTGTGTTTTATGAGGAATGGAGATGACAAGAACGTCAACAAAGATGTGGAATGAAAACAGTAAGCTAAATTTTCCAAGCATGTCTAATTATATCTGTGTATCTTCTTGCTGCGTTTTATGAGTAATGCAGACAAGAGCAACGTCAACCAGGAAGTGGAAGGAAAACAGTAAGCTCATTTGTCCAAACATGCGTAAGAATATCTGTGTATGTTTCTGGTGTGTTTGAAGAGGAATGTAGACATGAAAAATGTTACCAAGGATGTCGAAGGAATATAGTAAGCTAATTTGTCCAAGCATGCCTAAGAATATTTGTGTATCTTCCCGCTGTGTTTTATGAGGAATGCAGACAAGAACCACGTCAACCAGGAAGTGGAAGGAAAACAGTAAGCTGATTTGTCCAAGCATGCCTAATAATATCTGTGTCTCTTTGTATTTCCAGCTGCGTTTTATGAGCAATGGAGCCAAGAACAACGTCAACGAGGAAGTTGAAGGAAAACAGTAAGCTAATTTTTTCAAGCGTGCCTAATAATATCTGCGTATCTGTGTGTTTTCCCGCTGCATTTTATGAGGAATGGAGATAAGAAGAACGTCAACAAAGAAGTGGAAGGAAAACAGTAAGCTTATTTTTCCAAGCATGCCCAATAATATTTGTGTATCTTTGTATTTCTAGCTGTGTTTTATGAGGAATGGAGAGAAGAACAAGTTGAACAAGGAAGTTGAAGGAAAACAGTATGCTAAGTTGTCTAAGCATGATAAGCGTAAGAATATCTGCGTATTTTCCAGCTGTGTTTTATGAGGAATGGAGATGACAAGAGACATGTCACCAAGGAAGTGGATGCAATACAGTAAGGTAATTTTTTCAGTGTGTGCCTAACAATATCTGTGTATCTTACCGCTGCTTTTTATGAGGAATTGAGACAAGAACAACGTTAACCAGAAAGCTGATGGAAAACAGTAAGCTAATTTTTCCAAGCGTGCTTAATAATATCTGTGTATCTGTGTATCTTCACGTTGTGTTTTATTAGGAATGGAGACAAGAACAAGGTTAACAAGGAAGTTGAAGGATACCAGTAAGCTCACTTTTCCATGCATCACTAATAATATCTGTGTATCTTCCCGCTGCGTTTTATGAGGAATGGAGACAAGAACAAGGTCAATAAAGAAGTTGAAGGAAAGCAGTAATGGAATTTTTCTAAGCATGCCTCATAATATTTGTGGATCTGTGTATCTTCCCTTTGTGTTTTATTAGGAATGGAGACATGAACAAGGTTAACTGGGAAATTGAAGGATAACAGTAAGCTAATTTTTCCAAGCATGCCTCATAATATTCGTGGATGTGTGCATCTTTCTGCTGTGTTTTATGAGGAATGGAGACAAGAGAAATGTCAGCAAGGATGTGGATGGAATATAGTAAGGTAATTTTTTCCAAGCGTGCCGAAGAATATCTGTGTAGGTTTGTATTTCCAGCTGCGTTTCATGAGGAATGGAGTCAAGAACAAGGTCCAGTAATAAGTTGAAGGAAAACAGTAAGCTAAATTTTCCAAGCATGCCTAATAATATCTGTATCTTCTTGCTGCGTTTTATGAGGAATGGAGACGAGAACAACGTCAATAAGGAAGTTGACGGAAAACAGTAAGCTTATTTTTCCAAGCGTGCCTAATAATATCTGTGTATCTGTGTATCTTCCTGCTGCGTTTTATGAGGAATGGAGAGGATAAGCATGCCAACAAGGAAGTGGAAGGATAACAGTTAGCTAATTTTATCAAGCGTGCGTAATAATATCTGTGTATCTTTGTGTTTCTAGCTGCGTTTTATGAGGAATGGAGATGACAAGCATGTCCACAAGGAAGTGGGAGGAATATAGTAAGCTAATTTTTCCAAGTGTGCCTGATAATATCTGTGTATCTGTGTATCTTCCCGCTGTGTTTTATGAGTAATGGAGATGACAACAATGTCAACCATGAAGTTGAAGGAAAACAGTACGCTCATTTTTCCAAGTGTGCCTAATAATATGTGTGTATATGTGTATGTTTCTGGTGTGTTTTATGAGGAATGGAGACAAGGAAAATGTTACCTAGGAAGTGGAAGGAGAGCAGTAAGCTAATTTTTCCAAGCATGCGTCTTAATATCTGCGTATCTTCCAGCTGTGTTTTCTGAAGAATGGATACAAGAACAAGGTCAATGAGGGAGTTGAAGGAAAACAGTAAGGTAATTTTTCCAAGCATGCCTCATAATATCTGTGGATGTCTGTATCTTCTCTCTGTGTTTTATTAGGAATGTAGACAAGAACAAGGTCATCTGCGAAATTGAAGGATAACAGTTAGCTAATTTTTCCCAGCTTGCGTAATAATATTTGTGTATGTTTGTATCATCTTGTTGTGTTTTATGAGGAATGGAGATGAGAACAATGTTATCTAGGAAGTGGAAGGAATGCAGTATGGTAATTTTTCTAAATGTGCCTAATAGTATTTGTGTGTGTGTATTTTCAGGTGTGTTTTATGTGGAGTGGAGATGAGTACAACATCAACTGGGAATTTGAAGGATAACAGTAAGCAAATTTTTCCAAGCGTGCCTGATAATATCTGTGTATCTTCCCGATGCGTTTTATGAGGAATGGAGACAACAACAATGTCTACAAGGAAGTGGAAGGAAAACAGTAAGCTAATTTTTCCAAGCGTGCTTAATGTTGTCTTTGTATTTGTGTATCATCCCACTGTGTTTTATGAGGAATGGAGACGAGAATAACGTCAACAAGGAAGTTGAAGGAAAACAGTAAGCTTGTTTTCCAAGCATGCCTAATTATATTTGTGTATTTCTGTATTTGCAGCTGTGTTTTATGAGGAAAGGAGACAACAATAATGTCAACCATGAAGTTGAACGATAACAGTAAGCTAATTTTTCCAAGCATGCCTAATAATATCTGTGTTTCTTTGTATTTGCAGCTGTGTTTTATGGGGAATGGAGAGAAGAACAAGGTCAACCAGGAATTTGAAGGAATACACTATGGTAAATTTTCCAAGCATGCCTAATAATATCTGTGTATGTGTATCTTCCTGCTGCGTTTTATGAGGAATGGAGACAAGAACCACGTCAACCAGGAAGTTGAAGGAAAACAGTAAGCTAATTTTTTCAAGCATGCCTAACAATATCAGCGTATCTGTGTGTTTTCCTGCTGCGTTTTATGAGGAATGGAGATAAGAAGAACGTCAACAAAGAAGTGGAAGGAAAACAGTAAGCTTATTTTTCCAAGCATGCCCAATAATATCTGTGTGTCTTTGTATTTCCAGCTGCGTTTTATGAGGAATGGAGATAAGAACAAGTTGAACAAGGAAGTTGAAGGAAAACAGTATGCTAAGTTGTCTAAGCATGCGTAAGAATATCTGCGTATCTTCCAGCTGTGTTTTATGAGGAATGGAGATGACAAGAGACATGTCACCAAGGAAGTGGATGCAATACAGTAAGGTAATTTTTTCAGTGCGTGCCTAACAATATCTGTGTATCTTACCGCTGCTTTTTATGAGGAATTGAGACAAGAACAACGTTAACCAGAAAGCTGAAGGAAAACAGTAAGCTAATTTTTCCAAGCGTGCTTAATAATATCTGTGTATCTGTGTATCTTCACGTTGTGTTTTATTAGGAATGGAGACAAGAACAAGGTTAACAAGGAAGTTGAAGGATACCAGTAAGCTCACTTTTCCATGCATCACTAATAATATCTGTGTATCTTCCCGCTGCGTTTTATGAGGAATGGTGACAAGAACAATGTCAGCAAGGACGTGGAAGGAATATAGTAAGCTAATTTTTCGAAGCATGCCTAATTATACTTTCGTGTTTCCAGCTGTGTTTTATTATGAATGGAGACAACGTCAACCAGGAAGTGGAAGTGTAACAGTAAGTTAATTTTTCCAAGCATGCCTAATAATATTTGTGTATGTTTGTATCTTCCAGCTGCGTTTTATGAGGAATGGAGACAAGAACAAGGTGAACAAGGAAGTGGAAGGAAAACAGTATGCTAATTTTTCCAAGCATGCCTAATAATATCTGTGTATCTGTGTATATTCTACCTGCGTTTCATGAGGTCTGGCGATAACAATGTAGTCAACCAGGAAGTTGAAGGAAAACAGTAAGCTGAATTTTCCAAGCATGCCTAATAATATTTGTGTATTTGTGTATGTTTCTGGTGCGTTTTCTGAGGAATGGAGACGAGAACAAGGTCAACCCGGTTGTTGAATGATAACAGTAAGCTAATTTTTCCAAGCATGCCTAATAATATCTGTGTGTCTTCCTGTTGGGTTTTATGTGGATTGGAGAGAAGAACAAGGTCAACCAGGAAGTTGAAGGAAAACAGTAAGCTAAATTTTTCAAGCATGCCTAAGAATATCTGTGTACCTTTCAGCTGCGTTTTATGAGGCTTGGAGATGACTAGAAGGTCATCCAGGAAGTGGAAGGGAAACAGTGAGATAATTTTTCCAAACGTGCTTAATAATATTTGTGTATGTGTGTGTCTTCACGCTATGTTTTGTGAAGAATGGAGACAAGAACAAGGTCAATAAAGAAGTTGAAGGAAAGCAGTAATGGAATTTTTCTAAGCATGCCTCATAATATTTGTGGATCTGTGTATCTTCCCTTTGTGTTTTATTAGGAATGGAGACATGAACAAGGTTAACTGGGAAATTGAAGGATAACAGTTAGCTAATTTTTCCAAGCATGCCTCATAATATTCGTGGATGTGTGCATCTTTCTGCTGTGTTTTATGAGGAATGGAAACAAGAGAAATGTCAGCAAGGATGTGAATGGAATATAGTAAGGTAATTTTTTTCCGTGCGTGCCGAAGAATATCTGTGTAGGTTTGTATTTCCAGTTGTGTTTCATGAGGAATGGAGTCAAGAAATAAGGTCAAGTAATAAGCTGAAGGAAAACAGTAAGCTAAATTTTCCAAGCTTGCCTATTAATATGTGTATCTTCCTGCTGGGTATTATGAGGAATGGAGACGAGAACAACGTCAATAAGGAAGTTGAAGGAAAACAGTAAGCTTATTTTATCAAGCGTGCCTAAGAATATCTGTTTGTCTTCCTGCTGCGTTTTGTGAGGCATGGACGTGACAAGAATGTCAACCAGGTTGTGGAGTTAAAACTGTGAGATAATTTTTCAAGTGTGTTTATTAATATTTGTGTATGTTCACGTTGTGTTTTATGAGGCATGGAGACAAGCACAACGTCAACCAGGAAGTTGAAGCAAAACAGTAAGGTAATTTTTCCACGCATGTCAAATAATATGTGTGTATCTGTGTATGTTTCCTGTGTGTTTTATGAGGAATGGAGACAAGGAAAATGTTAACTAGGAAGTGCAAGGAAAGCAGTAAGCTAATTTTTGCAAGCATGCCTAATAATATCTGTGTATCTGTGTATCTTCCTGCTGTGTTTTATGAGGAATGGAGACAAGAACAAGGTCAGCCAAGAAGTTGAAGGAAAGCAGTAAGCTAATTTGTCCAGTTATGCCTAAGAATATCTGTGTATCTTTGTATTTCCAGCTGCGTTTTATGAGGAATGGAGATGAGAACAAGGTCAATCAGGAAGTGGAAGGAAAACAGTATGTTAAATTTTCCAAGCATGCCTTATAATATCTGTATCTTTTCGCTGCGTTTTATGAGGAATGGAGAGGATAAGCATGCCAACAAGGAAGTGGAAGGATAACAGTTAGCTAATTTTATCAAGCGTGCCTAATAATATCTGTGTATCTTCCCGCTGTGTTTTATGAGTAATGGAGATGACAACAATGTCAACCATGAAGTTGAAGGAAAATAGTACGCTCATTTTTCCAAGTGTGCCTAATAATATGTGTGTATATGTGTATGTTTCTGGTGTGTTTTATGAGGAATGGAGACAAGGAAAATGTTACCTAGGAAGTGGAAGGAGAGCAGTAAGCTAATTTTTCCAAGCATGCGTCTTAATATCTGCGTATCTTCCAGCTGTGTTTTCTGAAGAATGGATACAAGAACAAGGTCAATGAGGAAGTTGAAGGAAAACAGTAAGGTAATTTTTGCAAGCATGCCTCATAATATCTGTGGATGTCTGTATCTTCTCTCTGTGTTTTATTAGGAATGTAGACATGAACAAGGTCATCTGCGAAATTGAAGGATAACAGTTAGCTAATTTTTCCCAGCTTGCATAATAATATCTGTGTATGTTTGTATCTTCATGTTGTGTTTTATGAGGAATGGAGATGAGAACAATGTTACCTAGGAAGTGAAAGGAATGCAGTATGGTAATTTTTCTAAATGTGCCTAATAGTATTTGTGTGTGTGTATTTTCAGGTGTGTTTTATGTGGAGTGGAGATGAGTACAACATCAACTGGGAATTTGAAGGATAACAGTAAGGAAATTTTTCCAAGCGTGCTTGATAATATCTGTGTATTTGTGTATCTTCCCGCTGTGTTTTATGGGGAATGGAGAATAGAACAACGTCAACCAGGAAGTTGACGCAAACCAGTAAGCTATATTTTCCAAATGTGTTTGATAAAATCTGTGTATCTTCCTGATGCGTTTTATGAGGAATAGAGACAGCAACAATGTCTACAAGGTAGTGGAAGGAAAACGGTAAGCTAATTTTTCCAAGTGTGTTTAATATTATCTTTGTATTTGTGTATCATCGCACTGTGTTTTATGAGGAATGGAGACGAGAACAACGTCAACCAGTAAGTTGAGGGAAAACGGTAAGCTTGTTTTCCAAGCATGCCTAATAATATTTGTGTATTTTTGTATTTGCAGTTGTGTTTTATGAGGAATGGAGACAACAATAATGTTAACCATGAAGTTAAAGGATAACAGTAAGTTAATTTTTCCAAGCATGTGTAATAATATTTGTGTTTATTTGTATTTGCAGCTGTGTTTTATGCGGAATGGAGACAAGAACCAGGTCAATAAGGAATTTGAAGGAAAACAATAAGCTAAATTTTCCAAGTATGCTTAATAATATCTGTGTATATGTGTATCTTCCTGCTGTGTTTTATGAGGAATGGAGACGAGAACAGTGTTAACCAGGAAGTTGAAGGAAAACAGTAAGCTAATTTTTCCAAGCATGGTTGATAATATCTGTGTATTTGTGTATCTTCCCGCTGTGTTTTATGTGGTATGTAGATGAGAACACGGTCTACCAGGAAGTGGAAGGAATGTAGTCAGGTAATTTTTCCACGCATGCCTAAAAATATCTGTGTTCCTGAGTGTCTTCCTGCTGCGTTTTATGAGTAATGGAGACAAGAACAATGTCCATAAGGAAGTTGAAGGAAAACAGTAAGCTTGTTTTCCAAGCGTGCCTAATTATATTTGTGTATTTTTGTATTTGCAGCTGTGTTTTATGAGGAATGGAGACAACAATAATGTTAACCGTGAAGTTAAATGATAACAGTAAGCTAATTTTTCCAAGCATGCGTAATAATATCTGTGTTTCTTTGTATTTGCAGCTGTGTTTTATGAGGAATGGAAACAAGAACAAGGTCAACCAGGAATTTGAAGGAAAACACTAAGCTAAATTTTCCAAGCATGCCTAATAATATCTGTGTATATGTGTATCTTACTGCTGTGTTTTATGAGGAATGGAGAGAATAACAACGTCAATCAGGAAGTTGAAGGAAAATGGTAAGCTAAATTTTCCAAGCAAGCTTAGTAATATCTTTGTATCTGTGTATTTTCCCTTTGCATTTTATGAGTAATGGAGTCGACAATAATGTCAACAAGGAAGTGGTAGGATAACAGTAAGCTAATTTTTCCAAGCATGCCTAACAATATCTGTGTATCTGTGTATTTTCCTCTTGTGTTTTATGAGGAATGGAGACTAGAACAAGGTTAATGAGTAAGTGGAAGGAATACATTAAGATAATTTTTCCCTGAATGTCTTGTAATATCTGTGGGTGTCATTATCTTACTTGTGTGTTTTATTAGTAATGCAGACAAGTGCAATGTCAACTGTGCAATAGATGGATAAGAGTTTGGTATTTTTTGCAACCTTGCCTTATAATATCTATGTTTGTGTGTATCTTTTTGCTGTGTTTTATGAGGAATGTGTATGAGAACAATATCATGAAGTAAGTGGAAGGAGTGCAGTAAGGTAATTTTTTTAAGTGTGCTTGTGTATTTGCAGCTGTGTTTTATGAAGAATGGAGACAACGTCAACCAGGAAGTGGAAGTGTACAAGTTAGCTAATTTTTCCAATCATGCCTAATAATATTTGTGTATGTTTGTATCTTTCAGCTGCGTTTTATGAGGAATGGAGACAAGAACAAGGTGAACAAGGAAGTGGAAGGAAAACAGTTCGCTAATTTTTCCAAGCATGCTTAATAATATCTGTGTATCTGTGTATATTCTACCTGCGTTTCATGAGGTATGGAGATAACAACGAAGTCAACCAGGAAGTGGAAGGACAACAGTAAGCTGAATTTTCCAAGCATGCATAACAATATCTGTGTTTTTATGTATGTTTCTGGTGTGTTTTATGAGGAATGGAGTTGAGAACAAGGTCAACCCGTTAGCTGAATGATAACAGTAAGCTAATTTTTGTAAGCATGCCTAATAATAGCTGTGTGTCGTCCTGTTGGGTTTTATGTGTATTGGAGAGAAGAACAAGGTCAACCAGGAAGTTGAAGGAAAACAGTAAGCTAACTTTTTCCAGCATGCCTAATAATATCTGTGTATCTTTCAGCTGTGTTTTATGAGGCTTGGAGAAGACTAGAAGGTCATCCACGAAGTGGAAGGGAAACAGTGAGATAATTTTTCCAAGCGTGCTTAATAATATTTGTGTATGTGTGTGTCTTCATGCTATGTTTTGTGAAGAATGGAGACAAGAAGAAGGTCATCTAGGAAGTTGAAGGAAAGCAGTAAGGTAATTTTTCTAAGCATGCCTCATAATATTTGTGGATCTGTGTATCTTCCCTTTGTGTTTTATTAGGAATGGAGACATGAACAAGGTTAACTGGGAAATTGCAGGAAGCTATTTTTTTAGCTAATTTTTCCAAGCATGCCTCATAATATTCGTGGATGTGTGCATCTTTCTGATGTGTTTTATGAGTAATGGAGACAAGAGAAATGTCAGCAAGGACGTGGGTGGAATATAGTAAGGTAATTTTTTTCCGTGCGTGCCGAAGAATATCTGTGTAGGTTTGTATTTCCAGCTGCGTTTCATGAGGAATGGAGTCAAGAACAATGTCAAGTAATAAGTTGAAAGAAAACAGTAAGCTAAATTTTCCATGCATGCCTAATAATATCTTTATCTTCCTGCTGCGTTTTATGAGGAATGGAGATGAGAACAACGTCAACAAGGAAGTTGAAGGAAAAGTAAGATTATTTTATCAAGCGTGCCTAAGAATATTTGTTTGTGTTCTTGCTGCGTTTTGTGAGGCATGGACATGAAAAGAATGTCAACCAGGTTGTGGAGTTAAAACTGTGAGATAATTTTTCAAGTGTGTTTATTAATATTTGTGTATGTTCACGTTGTGTTTTATGAGGCATGGAGACAAGAACAACGTGAACGAGGAAGTTGAAGCAAAACTGTATGGTAATTTTTCCAAGCATGCCAAATAATATGTGTGTTTCTGTGTATGTTTCCCGTGTGTTTTATGAGGAATGGAGACAAGAACAAAGTCAACCTGGAAGTTTAAGGAAAACAGTAAGTTAACTTTTCCAAGCATGCCTAATAATATCTGTGTATCTGTGTATCTTCTCGCTGCGTTTCATGAGGAATGGCGAGGATAAGCATGCCTACAAGGAAGTGGAAGGATAACAGTAAGCTAATTTTATCAAGTGTGCCTAATAATATCTGTGTTTCTTTGTGTTTCTAGCTGCGTTTTATGAGGAATGGAGATGACAAGCATGTCCACAAGGAAGTGGAAGGAATGTAGTAAGCTAATTTTTCGAAGCGTGCCTAATAATATCTGTGTATCTGTTTATCTTCCCGCTGCGTTTTATGAGATATCGTGATGACAATAATGTCAACCCTGAAGTTCAAGGAAATCAGTATGCTAATTTTTCCAAGCGTATCTAATAATATGTGTGTATATGTGTATGTTTCCGGTGTGTTTTATGAGGAATGGAGACAAGGAAAATGTTACCTAGGAAGTGCAAGGAGAGCAGTAAGCTAATTTTTGCAAGCATGCTTCTTAATATCTGCATATCTTCCAGCTGTGTTTTGTGAATAATGGAGACAAGAACAAGGTCAACGAGGAAGTTGAAGGAAAACAGTAAGTTAATTTTTGCAAGCATGCTTCATAATATCTCTGGATGTTTGTATGTTCCCTCTGTGTTTTATTAGGAATGCAGAGAAGAACAAGGTCATCTGCGAAATTGAAGGATAACAGTTAGCTAATTTTTCCCAGCTTGCATAATAATATCTGTGTATGTTTGTATGTTCTTGTTGTGTTTTATGAGGAATGGAGATGAGAACAATGTTATCTAGGAAGTGGAAGGAATGCAGTATGGTAATTTTTCTAAGTGTGGCTAATAGTATTTGGGTGTGTATATTTTCAGGTGTGTTTTATGTGGTGTGGAGATGAGTACAACGTCAACTGGGAATTTGAAGGATAACAGTAAGCAAATTTTTCCAAGCGTGTCTGATAATATCTGTGTATTTGTGTATCTTCCCGCTGCGTTTTATTAGGAATGGAGAATAGAACAACGTCAACCAGGAAGTTGAAGCAAACCAGTAAGCTATATTTTCCAATTGTGCCTGATAATATCTGTGTATCTGTGTATCTTCCTGATGCGTTTTATGAGGAATGGAGACAACAGCAATGTCTACAAGGAAGTGGAAGGAAAACAGTAAGCTAATTTTTCCAAGCGTGCTTAATATTGTCTTTGTATTTGTTTATCATCCCACTGCGTTTTATGAGGAATGGAGACGAGAATAATGTCAACAAGGTAGTTGAGGGAAAACAGTAAGCTTGTTTTCCAAGCATGCGTAATTATATTTGTGTATTTTTGTATTTGCAGCTGTGTTTTATGAGGAATGGAGACAACAATAATGTTAACAATGAAGTTAAAGGATAACAGTAAGCTAATTTTTCTATGCATGCGTAATAATATGTGTGTTTATTTGTATTTGCAGGTGTGTTTTATGAGGAATGGAGACAAGAACAAGGTTAACAAGGAATTTGAAGGAAAACTCTAAGCTAAATTTTCCAACCATGTCTAATAATATCTGTGTATATTTGTATTTTCTTGCTGCGTTTTAAGAGGAATGGAGAGAATAACAATGTCAACCTGGAAGTTGAAGGAAAATGTTAAGCTAAATTTTCTAAGCATGCTTAGTAATATTTTTGTATCTGTGTATTTTACCTCTGCGTTTTATGAGCAATGAGAACAATGTCAACAAGGAAGTTATAGCATAACAGTCAGCTAATTTTTACAAGCTTGCATAAGAATGTCTGTGTATCTTTGTGTTTTCAGGTGTGTTTTATGAGGAATGGAGATCAGAAGAAGGTCTATTAGGAAGTTGAATGAAAATCGTCAGCTTAATTTTCCAAGCATTCCTAATAATATCTGTGTATCTGTATCTTGCTCTTGTGTTTTATGCTGAATGGAGACTAGAACAATGTCAATCTGGAAGTTCAAGGAAATCAGTAATTTTTCTAAACATGCCTCATTATATTTGTGTGTTTGTTTTTTTGTGTGGTTTTTGTGTGTTTTATGAGTAATGGAGACAAGAATAAGGTCAATGAGTAAGTGGAAGGAATGTAGTAAGGTAATTTTTCCCTGAATGTGTTGTAATATCTGTGGGTGTCATTATCTTCCTTCTCTTTTATCAGTAATGCAGACAGGTACAATGTCAAGTGTGCAATAGATGGATAAGAGTTTTGTAATTTTTGCAACCTTCCCTAATAATATCAATGTTTGTGTGTATCTTCTTGCAGTGTTTTATGAGGAATGTGTATGAGAACAATATCATGAATGAAGTGGAAGGAGTGCAGTAAGGTAATTTTTTTAAGTGTGCTTGTGTATTTGCAGGTGTGGTTTATGTGGAATGTAGATAAGAAGAACCTCAATTGGGAAGCTGAAGGAGAAGAGTTAGCTCTTTTTTCAAAGCATGCTTAAGAATATGTGTGTATTTTGGTGCTGCTTTCTATGAGGAATGGAGATAATAAAAATGTCATGGAGGAATGGGATGCAATACAGTCAGGTAATTTTTTTTTTTACAGTGCGTGCCTAGGCGTAGCGCAGCGTACGCGTGCCTAGGCGTAGCGCAGCGTACGCGTGCCTAGGCGTAGCGCAGCGTACGCGTGCCTAGGCTACATACTACTTCTCCGGTCTTTTTGTTTTGTCTTTCTTCCTTTGGCAGTGTTTATCATGAGGTTCTTGCTAGTTGTGCATATCTTTCTATTTTTTAAATATTCTAAGTTGTGGTCACTGTTAAGGAATAATATAATTACATCATTCAGAAAATACATATACTTCGAAAAACATAGTACTGTCAAAATTCAGATGAAACCAGTGCCCGGTTTTGGAAAATGAGAACTATTACAACAGAACGTCTCACAGCCTTGTTCAGTCCTTTTGTTCATATGTTGGTTAAGTAGCCCCATTTGTACACCCTTGTTACGGGAGGGCTAATTCCCCTGTCGTACCATAACCTGCCCAGTTGCCAAGTCTTTTTCCTCAGGTGACTCGGGCATTGTAGCCCAAGTCACCTGAGGAGGCTTTTTCCTTTTATTAGAAACTATGAAGTCCTCCAGAATCCATGTTCTTGTTGGCATTTGTAAATTAGCTGTACCCCTGTTCTTTTGTGGAGACTTTGAAATTTCTGGACATGTCTTAATTGTTTCCATAATGGAAGTAAAAAAACTTTGGCAAAGGCCACCCTGGCCCTTATAAGATAAATGTACATGTTTCTAGGACACTTGTTTGGAGCTTGGTTGGGGTATTCCTGGAGCAGCTTATCTAGTTTTAATAACTGGAAATATTCTACTCCTTCTACGGCTCTAACATTATGCCTTGGTCCTCGGTGCTCTGTCTCCCCCAGATTGGCCACCAACTGCTGGACAGTGGCCTCCGAGGCCACCAGGAAGTTCAACTTGGATTCTCAGTTCTCAGTTTTCTGAGAACTTCTCAGTTCTCCCACATTCTCAGTTCTGTTTGTATTAAATGTTATGGAGCTTTAAGTGCAATGTTTAGTCTCAGAAAATGTTCTTTAATCGGTCAACCCTCATGGCTCTTCAGAGCCTGAGGTGTGCATAGCCCCCCTGAATGAAGACAAGCACAGCTAGTGTCCATATGGCTGCTCTGTATCCTGGGAGGAGGATTTATGAGTTCCCTCCCATTATCACTATGCTTCCCTTGGGGCTCTTCGAGCTTTCACTCTGACTAGCATTTGCTGGCGAACACTGGCGAATGAGGAAAAACTCCAGATGACACAGATACGTCTTTCTCTCTCTGTGCAGTCTTTTCTCCACCAAGTTATGTAGCCATTGGTTCCATCAACAGGAAGAATCATAGAATCATAGAATCACAGAATTACTCAGAGTGCAAAAGACCTTCAAGATTATCAAGTCCAACCACAACCTAGCCATCCTACCCTAACTCTAACAGCCCTTTCATTTAAAGCTCTATCAATGAACCTTCCCAACTCCTGTTTTAAGACCCCTTTCCCTTGATGTGATAAGCTACTCCTATCAGCAGGCCTTGTCTCATGTACATCAAGCGGAAGTCAAAAAACCCAAAACCCTGCTGGGCAAAGTAGGCTCAGAGCCAGGTATTAATCTGCTGGCCCATCATATTTAGTCCCTTATCATTCCCTATAACAGGAGAGACAGCAGAATACAACTTGTGCTCTCAAACCCTTTACCTGTCACCCCACGACTCTGTCTCGCTCCAATTTATAGGAGGGAGAGGAGGTTCTTTTATTATCTATATACCTGGTGTGAGATTAAGAAACAATGGTTCAAATGTTGGTCCGACCAATTTATTACAAATCTTAATCAGGGAAATGGGGAAGGGGAGGGCAGACACTGTTATGAATTAGGGTAATAGGGAAGGGAAGGAGGGTGATAGAAAAGATAAGAAAGAAGAGGCAAGGAGTCTTTATAGGAAGCAAGAGGGAGATAGTCACCACCATGGATCCAGCGAGGTTCGTAGTTCAGTCTTTGATCTTCAGTAGCGGTGGGTCGTCAGGCAGAGCTGTTCTGTTGACGACGACGACGACCATGGCGATGATGGCCCCTTTTCAATGGTTTCAAAGTGATTGAGTCAGCTGTCTTTGCAGTGACAGCTCAAATCCGAAGTGGTTGAGTCAGCTCTCCTTTGAGTGGCAGCTTCTGGCTCTGGGATCTCAGCAGGAAACTCCTTTGTTCTGATCTTCCTGGCCTTGCCGGCAGATAAGAGGGAGCAGGGAGGCGCCAACTTGTAACTTGCCTTCGCAGGATACAATGGCATTGTCCCCCAGTCTTCCATAGCAAACAGTAGTTGGTAACAGGCTAGATCTTTTGCCAGTAAACAGTCCTGACCACTATCTTCCGAAGGCGAACAGCTCCAAAGATGTAAAATTGTCCACACAGCGATGTTGATTGCCACACAACGTCCATCACTTGCCTCCTTAACAAAATACCTAAGGAAGCAAGCTTTGAGCCAAAAAAACAAAGAAGGATTCTCACAGGCTCAGAACTCCTTTTTCATAGTCCTTAGGGAAGTTCTTCCTCCATCATCGCTGCCTACCCAAAAACAAAACAAAAATAGGGGATAGGAATCTGAGGGCCGAACTAGGGGAGGAAGTTTCTTCCTTATGTCTTTAACTAGGACTCCTAGGAGGCAACAGACCGCCCTGTCTAGAGGCTCTGGTCTATATATTAGCCCTTCTGCTTCCTAAGAACTTAACTACTCACATGAGTATGCAACAGTGAAAGCAGGTTACTCTCTGTAACTAGAATACCTGCAGATGACAGGAAAAAAAAAGAAAAAAAACCCACCTTGTGCAATATTTCCCGTGAATATTTTCTCTCTTCCATGCTATGAACATTCTGCAAGGTATGTTCTGTAGTGTTACCTCTTAGGAAAAGCAAGTACAGAGTACTGACCACCAACGCGCGTATCACCTTGAAGTTCTTATTTCAGGCCTTTATATTTAAATTATTTTAATAAATACAGACATCATTCATATGAAAACTTCTTCTAGCAAATATACTGAGATATAACAGTTGAATTTGCTGCTGTTAGTATTCCTTTATGTTTCCTACTCAAGTAATCCAGGCTGGGGGAGCTGGACTTGTTCAGCCTGGAGAAAAGAAGGCTGCAGGGTGACCTCATTGCAGCCTTCCAATACCTAAAGGGAGCCTACAAACAGAAGGGGAGTCAGCTTGCATAATCGATGAATATTAAGATGTTATAACTACAAAATAAACAAGAAAGTTTGGCAAAGCAGATAACGATAACAAAAAGAGAATAGATACAAAGCTTACCCCTATTCTGGGCTTGCTTACAAAACTGCAGCAGAGCAAATCTCCAGGAGATATCCTTCCCTACTGGTAGCCAGCTCTTAAATAGGTCTAGGAATTGCCTTCACCTGTGCTCCTCTGGCTGACTCGTGGCTCTCCTCAGGTGATCAATCAGAGGTTCAGGCCGTGACTCAGCAGTTCCCATACTGCAGTGTTAAGGATCTACGATACTGGCCGTGACAGGGCCAGGGCCAAATCACTGGACATGCACATCAATGTGGTGAACAGCAAAAGGGGCTTTATTACAAGTAAACTCTAACTTATATACCCTATGTGCTTCGTCTACGCCCCCGAGCATATGTCACAGTGCAGGGGAGGTCCTAATGCATCGCATCCAGACATCGCCTCGTCAGGGCCAACTCCTGACACATCACATTCCAATTTCAACACTAGACGCCTAATACAGTATATGCAACACCATACACAACTCTTTGAAAGGGTTGATAACTGCAGGACAAGGGGAAATGGTTTGAAGTTGAGGGAGGGAAGATCTAGGTTGGATGTCAGGGGGAAGTTCTTTACAGAGAGAGGTGAGGTGCTGGAACAGCTGCCCAGAGAGGCTGTGGCTGGGTTGGACGGGGCGCTAGGCAACCTGGTCTAGTATTAGATGTGGAGGTTGGTAGCCCCTGTCGGGGGGTTGGAGCTTGATGATCCTTAAGGTTCCTTCCAACTCAAGCTATTCTACGATTCTATGACCGCGTGATAATTATTTGTGCATTTCCAGTTCCTATAACTCTTACTGAGCTTGGTTTCTGCTTTTCCTAGTATTCTATTTTCTTACCTAACTAACATAAAACTATCATTTACTTTGTTTCTGTCCATTTCTGATATGTTGCAGGTATTTTTAGTTTAAATCTAAACTCCATTATTTCATTACTACTTAATTTTTCATTTGCAAAAGCCGTATTGTGATTTATCCTCATATAAATACTCAGTCAAAATATTTGTAATTAAAGTGTTCTTAAATGAATTCAAGAAAGTTCTAACATTCTCCTTAAACTCTTAGTTCAAAGATAGATAGGTGTGTTGAGGGGCAGGAGGCAGAGAGAAAAAGGAAGGATAGATGCATGGTGGGCTCCATGCCTACTTTTCAAAGGCAAATGACCGATTGCCTCAGGAAGACATCAGTTCCAATCAGTAGTCAAGGAGAAATTGCTCTAAAATAGACTAAATAGCAAAGAAGTGCATCTCCAACCGGTGGTTATGTACTTTGTCCTTTGTTTAGATAGAACGTTGAAGTGTAACATTATCATCTTTGAAAAACAGCAAAAAAAATAAAAGAATATGCTCTTCATTTAGGTTCAATATTTGAGATAATCTTATTTGAAAAAAATCTGTATTGACATTTTCTTTTTAACATTTTTGTGCGGCAGAGGGAAGTGTTTTGCTTTGAGATGCAGAACTAATTTCTTGAGAATATATGCTAATTTCTATGGGTATATGCTATATTCAAATCTGTAGGCTTGTTTAAACGAAAAGTCATGCTCCAAACATTGAGGGGGAAACCATAGCTCAAATACTTCAAAGCTAATGTTATAACCTCAGGTAACCTAATTTACCTGTTACTGGAAATGCCATTTTTAGACCAAATCACAAACTTGATATCAGAAAAGATCTTGATGGTCTGTAAATATGTTAAAAATAGGTAAATGATCTAATTTTCTAACAGTTTGACATAAGTAAGTATATAAGCATGTACATGTATATACATATACGCATATATATGTAACAAAAAAAAAAAAAAAAAAAAAAAAAGAAAGAAAAAAAGAAAAAGGAAAAGGATGCCTGGCAATTCAGCTTCATCCCATGGAGATTAGTGGAACTCAAAATGGTCTCGTAGTCAGGAAAATCACTTTTGAGAGCCATTCCAGGAGCTAAATGTAGCAAAATAATAATAATAATAATAAAAGATTAATTTTTGCTAATGTTTCTATTAGGAGCATTATTTTTGCTGTATTACTTTTAAGAATAGAAGCATCCTCTTATTATTTTCTTGTACTTAAAAGCTTAAAGAAAAAAAGAATAAGTAGCACTGAGAAAAAAAATACTGTAAAAAGCACATCGGTATATATGCCTTACTCCTGAAATTTAAGCCTTGCCTCTGGTAGCAGCTTTTTAATTATTTTGGATGTTATTAAACATGGTGCATTGCAAATGTCACATAATTCTTTCCTACTGATTTTCCACTACAGCTTTTCTCAGACCTTTGGCTTCTGCAACACTTTCAAGAGAAGATTAGACAATATCTCTAAGGAACAGCTTTGGTTTAGTGGATCATACCTTTTGACCAAGAAATGGTATCTCAAGTTTCCTTCCAGTTCTATTTCCTAATTCTGTGATCTCCCACAGAGATACTGGAGAATAAAATTAGAATTTGCCTCTCTTTTATGTACTTCCTGCTTTCTTTTTATATGACTAGTTCACAAACTGTATCCTTTAACCTTGTTCTATTTTGACAGCCGGTGACTGGCACATTTTCTAAGCTAAGTGATCACTTCTTTTATGCTCAAGAAATTATCTCTGAAGTTACCACAGGTCTACCTGCATTATCCTTTTTTTTTTTTTTTTTTTTTTCCTTCAATTTACAGGATACCACGTAAGGAAACAGCCACACCAGTTTCATCTCCACTTCTATGCTACGTGCCCTACTTAGCATTTCAGGTTTTTATTGTGCTTTATCATTTCCTTCTAGTTCTATTTGAAGTGCACCGTATCTTCACTATTTTATGGTGTTCTAGCACATCATTTTCGCCTGCGATAATGGGAGTGGCCGTTGTTTCATCTTTAGGTATATGAGGGTGGCATTTCTATAAATACAACACAAACTCATCTGTATATTCCACAAATACGTAGACGACAATTCAATACTGTTTCCAGTAAGCTCAGGGCTGGGGTGGGAGGGAGATTAGAAGGAGGAGCACCTGTTCAGCAATTCCTTTGAGCTATTTACTCTGTTCTTCCTAAAGTACTCAAGTGCATGTCAATAGCTTTAGCAATAGCATTTAACCACTGACATTGAACGACTAAAAAAAAAGATTACCTACAGAAGGCTGTTTCCCACACGGTAAATGTCTTACCATTCTTTTCCAACGTATTAACGTAGTTCAAAATATAGCATTAAAATTACATTTTTGCTGCTGTGCGATGAAAGTAAGAGTATCTCAAGTAACAGAAATAAGCTTTCGTGGAGACCCCTGGAGTTCAGATTTGTGCGTAGGAAAATGGTGAAAGAAATCATAAGACAGAATATTTGTCAGATGCAGAAAGAAATCTTTTGAATGTTATTGTTCTGTGACAGAGGGGGGTAAAAAAGCCATTCAAAATAAATCACAGATGTCCTGTATAAAATTCAGAGGATTTAAAGGCCTGAGACGAGGTTTTGAATAACTGAAGGTTCACTGCAGCTCCTTTTTAATAGTATGCGATTCATAACTGAGACTGACTTTATGTACTATTGTGGACTGGTTCTGACCCAGAAATCCAAGATTTCATAAAGTTTTCCTTTAAATTCGCTATTCGAGCAAGAAGCAAGAACTTCTTTAATCACGTGTAAGAAGTCCGTTAAGGGATTCAAGATAGAAAAGAGCATTGTGACAGAGTGCAGGAGCCAGCCACAGTCCCTTCTGGCTGTGGCCAGAAAATCCTACATGCTGGCCTGCTGTGTCTTAGGCAATTTGTGCCTTGTTCCTTGCGTTACAAGCTCCCCTTCATTGGAAGGGACAGTGATAGAAATATCATTCTATAATGGTTCCCTAAAACTTTCTATCTCATTTTTAAAAAATAAAACAGCTGCATTGATCAGTAATACAATCACAACACAAGTGGAAGTTTCATTAGCTCTTCCTTCAGTGCATACAGTTGCTTCTCCCCAGTTTGCTTTATCATTCTGCAGAATTTTTCATGTGGTCGCTTTTCAGACAGATTCTGTTTAACTTCTCCGGTTCCACAGAACTTCAAAAATAGAATTTAACTTATGCAGAAGTATTTTTGTCTTTTTTACCTTGCCACTTCTTAATCCTGCTCTCTTAAGCATTTCTTATTCTTCCCGAAAATTGAAAATAATAGAAAACAATATTATTTGAATAAAAGATATTGTAAAAGACAATCGGGTTCACTAAAAGAACATAATGCATATATTATTGCTTTTGTAAAAAGATTAAGACTGCGGTTCTAAAAAAATACTCAAATGTTTGCTTTAAGTTCCTGATAAATTTGGCCTCAAGGCTCATTAAAATGCTGCCTTATATAACAATATTTCAAACTGACAGCTCACACATTAAGTGTGGCTTGGTTCTGTGAAATTATGTCTTCCGAGTATTTGACTGTGTGCGTGATGATTTTGTTGCACCTCTGAATCATGTGAAATTAAAATGTTAATGAAATGGTTGAAAATAAATAAAGAAGAATTGGACTGTTGTTAGGAAAGCTCTCCTCACTCTCCGAGGGCGAGACTTTCACTAAGACCTGTTAACACGGGACAATTGCTCCCAGCTACTGATAAGCACGCAGTAGATTAAAATGAATCACAGAAAAGATTAATGGTCTCGTACTTGTTCTTAAGACTTATAACTGCTGTATTAATGTTCTTTCCACTGCACTAATAACAAGTCAAATTGACAGCCCTAACTCTTGGCACATTAATGTCTAGAGTTGTGGTCTTTAAGAAGCCCTTACTTACAAAGAGAATGCTATGGGCTTATAGAGTTAGAAATAATCTTTTTAAAATATTATTATTTATTATTATTTTAAATAATGTCATACCCAAACAATGTTCAGTATTGCACATGGCAGTATGCCTATGCACACAGGCTACTCATCCCACTAAGAAATTTCAGTTTTGATGTCTTTCAAAGAGTTCTTCGGTGCTGGATTTTGAACCTATATGGTGATATGAACGCATATATTTCTAGATTTCTAAAGCAGTCAAAATGACAGCGTGTAATACCTGCATAAGACCATATAAGAAATAGAGAAATCATTATCCTCTTTCAGGTAACTTTTAACCTAGTTATTTTCAGGTTTGTGATACCTAACATTGAAAAAAATTAGAAATAATATTTTTTTTTTACTTTGCCCTTATCTTGCTTTTCTCCATCTTCATGTAGTATTTTGTGTTCCTCGTCATCATTGTCTAGAATTGAACATTTTGTGAAACAGAGTAAAGTGCAGTTATTCACATATTCTGGACTAGATTCAGTATGCAATTTAGCCTTGGAAAGGTTTGGAGCTGCTCTTTCTGCGCAAGTATAAAATGCTTCATCCTTAAGCCTATAATAAACACTAAATTAAACAAAGCAGTATAAATGGGTCTCATCTGGAAGAGACTATTCTGACTGTTTTTGTACATTGTATGTGAAGACTGGGTTGTAAAAATTCTCATGAGGGAAGGTTACAGAAAAGAACAAAAGAAAACAATGAAAGCAAAAGCAGTTAAAGAACAGAAGATCGAAGTGGAGAAGCAGCAACTTACAGGAGAACATTACAGGTTCCCAATAAAAATGAGCAGTCTATTTTTTGGTTGTGGTTTATATAGCCTCCAATGCACATACATCAGGAGCAAAGGGTAGGCAGTAAAATAAGAAAAACACGATCATACTATTTCTTATTTCCTTACCATTCTCCACCATTCTCCACGATGTGGCCAGATGCTGTCAGACTGGAACAATATCTATCTACAAAATATCATAGCGTGTAAATACAACTGGTTAACTCTTGGCTCGTTCCCATTTCATTTCAATGATGTAAGTTCATCAGAAACTTTGCTCAAGCCCTCCAGTGCAGACAGCCAAGATGTGATTTTCTAACTCGTGCTAAGGTATAAACCATAGTGATGACAGAAAATGAATGATTGATTCTTACCAGCAGTGGGGTTTAGTTATGGAGATGTATGGTTGTCACTTTCAGGACTGCAGAAGCCTTTTAGATAGTCACTTACTGACAAGCATGAAAGCAGGCTGACTTAAAACGATTCCTTAAGAAGGAAACTGAAATAAGAACACCGAAAGTTTTAATGTATTTTGTTCAGATTTTTAAAATATAAAACTATTAGACATCAAGGAAGATGGAGAACAAGCAAAGTCTCAGGACACCAGTGTGTTAAACAGATTTGCACAGACTTAGACTATCTTACTGCTCCTCTTCAGGCCGTCATTTGCTTATTCCTTTCACAGGTACGTTTTACGGTGATTTTTTATGAATAGATGTCATAGTTTCTGACCTAGTTTTTCCTCTCTTCTTAAAAAGTAATAAGGGACATGATAAATCTGAGGCAGACTGAAGAGAAGCTGTTTTGAATTTTCTGGCAAAAGAGTTTTGTCTAGTTCACGCATCACACACATACATCTCAGCTTGATATCTCGTACAGAAGCACAAATCATTTTCCATCAGACTGAGAAATAATGTCAAACCTAATGGCAATACAAAGGTGCAGACTGCTCATTAAAATTGGCCAAGGTGTCTTGACTTTCGGGCACGCTACTTCACAAATGAACAAAACCTAATGTCAGTCTACAGTAGCATGTTCTGTGATGAGTATTTAAGTCACAAAGTGTGCCAAGTTAATCGTCTTTACTCACAGCGAGCTAGGTGCTTCAGTTGTCCAGCGCGTTGCAGTCTGCAGTGGGAGACCATTACTGCAATTCCTCATGGAGCGCTGAAAGACACATGGGCACACAGCAGGTGAAATCACCAAAAACACCCAGCAATGCAGCAGTGCCTACGCTTCTTCTGCTGGGGATGAACAATGCCAACAGTAAAGCTGCTCTTTGTCTATACTGGATCTCGTTGACAGCGGGATTCACAGAGTAGACCTCCACGGCGTGATCTCACAGGCATGCTCAGAGCAATCTACATTCCTTAGGGAAAAGAAAAAAAAAAAAAAAAGAAAAAAACAATAACAAACTTTGGAGAAGTGTCCACTCCTCCCACGTAGCACAGCTGCAAGCTGACAGAATGCTCAGCTGGGACTCGGTTAATATCTCCTCCTTACCTGATTGCATTTTGATGAAAGTGTTTTACATCTCAGCAGAGTGCCCTAATTGCGATGTTAGCAGATAGTTTGGGACAGGTCTCTCTTGCTCCGGATTTTTTTAGCTGATGATATTTAATTAATTTTCTGCTTAAGAAAGTAAAAACAGTCACTGAAACAAAGAAGGAGGAGAGGGAAGAAGTACAAGGTTGGTTGATATGCAGCTTCTAGTCTTCTCTAATGACTGCTAAAACTGTTTCATTGAAAGGGACTATTTTTCACCCTGAAACTCGCCCTGAGATACTGCCCAATGTTTAGGCTATTTTCTAAGGTATTGGAATAGAAGATGTGTTGAATTACTTCAGGCCATGGACTTGTCTGAACAGCTTGTGGGGGGACAAAGGAAGTGCAGGAGGACACTTCTTCC